TATTTACCTGATTAGAGAGTTTATTTTATAGAAATTGCTTCAGAATGGGGCCACGCAGCGTGTCCAGCGCGGGAGCTCCCCGGTGGGGCCGCGGAGCCGGGAGACGAGTCGTTTGTGCACATAATGGGGCTAATCCACCCTCCAATTACCCCAATGGACCGCGCAATGGCAAAGTGCTGCGTCCCTGCTAATTAAAAATCTGTTAAGAAGATTAGCGGGCGACGGTATCAAAAGAAACCCCCGCGTTTCTCTTCCCGCGCGCCCCCGCCCGTGGGCGCGCGTGTAGGAGTGCCGGATCGCTGGCACGCTCGCCGCAATTGTTCCCCCCACAGGAAGGGTTTCACGGCCGCGCTGCGCAAGCGCTGACGGCTCCCCCGGCTTGCCCACCGAGCGGGCCTTTACGTTTAATTACAGTTTGTTTAAATTAGCCCTGATTGTTCGTGTGGCATGCGAGTTCAAATACGCTTTAATTTATTGTTCCCCGGTGCCTTCCCTGGGCTGGCTGTGATGAATGCTACCTTCACGTGCAGGCCTGGGGCTCCCCCGCTTGCTCTGCTGGTCGCCGGCACTGGCTCCAGCCTGGGGTCACCGTGACCAGATGCTGAAAGCGGGCTGGGCACGCGCAGCTGGGAGTCGCAGCGGGGGGCACAGGCCGTGGAGGCCTAGAGGCCGCGGGAACCCATCGTCGCAGCCGTGCCGGCTTGCCCCGTGCTGGGGGGAGAGCTGCCAGGGCTGGGGATGCACCCAGCCTCTGCGCGGGGTGGCACCGAGCCGTCTCTTCTGGGTCGGGCGCAGACGGGCCCTCGCCAGGACGTCTCGACCGGGGTCGTTCCTGTTCCTGCCTCCACAGCCTGACCCCAACGCATTCGGCTCCGCGTTTGACCCCGAGGAAGGCGCCTGTGGAGGGGAAGAGTCCTCTGGGACCTGCATTGCGTCGCCCAGAAGAGAGGCCGGCCGGGGTACGGCTCCGTGTGACCCGCGCTGCTTTCCAGGGAGAAGAGGCAGCCAAGCCAGTCCCCCTGGGAGCCTGGGGCTCCCACCCTGGGCTGGACATGCTCATCGGGGACGCATCTCCAGTTTCGATGCAGGCAGAGCGCCGACGCCTGTGAACCTGGCCCTGCCGCCGGCCTCTGGGAATAAGGGAGACTCGTGTTTCTGGCAGGAGGATGGCTGAGGGGCTCCGGACTGCTGGTATCTGCATGCAGCCTAGGGGTTTTGCTTGACCCCGTCCCGCCAAGGTCAAGCCTTGCAACAGGGGATGGGGGAGCTCCCAGCCACCGAGCCCACTCTGGAGCGGCCACGGATGCAGCAGGATCTCGCTGGCCGGGTCTGCCCGGGGAAGGGCGAGAGCTTCCTCGGGAGCTCCCCGTCCCTCTGGTCCCCCCATGCCACGGGGCCGGGCCCAGGCCTCTTCTCCATCCCTCTCCCCCTCTCTGCCCCTTTCGTTCTCATGCGCCCACGGGGCCTCCTAGGATGCAGGTGCCCTGAGGAGGAACGGTCCTGCCCGAACGGCAGTCATGCGGCCTCTGCGCAGGGCTGGTCCTCATTAAGGATGATGAGAGCCTCAATTGCCCCGGTAGTTTGGAGTCTGTAATCATCCGTGGATGCATCATTAATATTGATGACACGGGCTGCGCTAGGCACCCGGCCAGCCGCTGACAAGGAGCCGGGCTCTGCCTCGAGGAGCTTGCAGGAGGCGGTGGGCGCTGGCTGCCAGCGGGAAGGGGCTCCTTTCCCTTCCCGGCTGTGACCGTCCCAAGCCGAGCCTCACGCAGGCCCGGCCCCGTGGCAGGGCCGCGTCCTCGGTTGCAGGGCTGCATGCCGCAGGCTGGTGTGCACCGGGCAGGGTGGAGGGCATCCGGGAATGGAGCCCTTCTGCCTCCAGCCCAATCCCCTGCCCTGCCAAAACCTGGCCGCGGGGCTTCACGCGGGTACACAATGCTCCTACTTCTGCATCCAGACCCCAGGCCTGTTCCTGCCCCGCCCTATGAGCCAGCTGCATTTCGGGGTCCAACATCTTAGCAGTTCCTTTTGCCTCGGGGTTTTCCTTACTGGGCCTTTATCCCTGGCTGGAGACTGGAGCTGGCAGCCCCAAGCCTGTGGTCCACGGGGAGACCAGCTAGTGTGCCGGACCCGCCAGCAAGTATTTTTTGGTGTGTTCTAAAATCCTCAATATTCCCCGTCGGTTTATTTTGTTGCTCTGAATCCCTGTCTTTGCGGCAACTCCAGCTCATTTACATGTGTATCGCGCCTGCCTCCACGGGTGCTGAGGTCAATTGAAACTCAAGAAAAGAGGAGAAATTTATGCAAAACTGTTGATTGCATTTGTATGTAATGAAATCATCCAATATTCATCTGACTATAGACTCTAATCTGAAAGGAGAACTGAAGGACATAAGAGTCACTGGAAAGCAGTAATGAGCTTCTGTAGTGATTAAAAAAGCACTTGAGCTTTCTGAAAATCCAGCCAGAAATCGTGTCTAATCAACAGTGAATATAGGAGGCAGAGATTACATTGATACATTTTGCAAAGCTCACTGTCGAAAATGTATGCGAGTTGTAAACTCTGACATGCCATCCATGTTCTGTTTGATACAAATCCAGGAAGCGCACAATCAGGGAGCCGGCTCGGCCGCGCACAAAGCAATCTCGGGCTCCGCTCGATGACTCACAAGGAGCGCAATCACATCTATTTTGAAGAGCAATGTTGGTTTTTAACTCTGTCGAGAGCTCGCGCATCCTTCCGACTCGCTCCTGCCTTGCGGCTCCGCTCGTTTTGTCTCCACCGCCGCGGGGCTTGCTGCTTTCAGGGAGGGTTGGAAAGCTCCCGGCTCCAAACCGGCCGCCGGCGAATTTGGGCAAACTGCAGAACGCCTGCAAAGCAGCTCCGGTGCCCCCGAAACAGCCCCCCAGAGACTGCACGAGGCCTAAGTCAGCCCTACCTACACCCTCCAGGCCCAGTTTGAAGCTGGGGGAGCACGGCCAGAGTGGCTGGGCACCCGGGTCTCGCACCGGCCCCTCGCATAGGCACGAACTTCACCTGTTTAATGACTGCAGCAGCAAGGGACCCAAGTGGTTTCCGACCATCACACTGGCTCCCCTTCCCTTCCCTCAGCCAGGCCGGGGCTGTGGAGAGGGAGCAGGTGCCTCCACTCGGTGATGCTCCAGGGAGTTGTGAGCGGCGGCTGAGGGAGCCCGCTGCCTGCCAGATGCTTCCCAACAAAGGAAGGATGAGTTCCTGCCTTGGAGAGCTCGCGCTCCGACAGACGGGCGGGAGCGAGAGACCAGGCCGCGGCATCTCCGTGCCCGAGATGGGATGCAATGCTGGAGGTCTGGGGGTGACTGCGCACCTCTGCTCTCGCCAGTCAGTGGAGGCAGCGAGGCCCTTGGATCACTGCCCTCCTTTGCACCGCGTGCTCATGGCCAGTCGCCCCAGGTGAAGGAGAGCAGGCGGCTGTAGCTACAGCCTGGTCCTCACCTGCACGTGGTGTTTCCAGCAGCTGTGGCTGGACAAACCAAGCCCTTGCTCGTGAAGCGTGGGCAGTGGGCTGCAGCCAAGGCACAGGCGTGATGTTAGGGAAACTGTGAGCAGCTGCCCCCTGCCCAGTTCCTTTGGTACCGGGGCCTGCAGATCGGTGAACCCGCCTCAGGCAGCACCTGGTTTTTCTCTTTTGGTTTTAGAGCTCGGCCCCATCCCCACCCTCTCCATCGCTTGCAGCTGCAGGATCTGGAAGGGAAGTGCCTGCAGCTTCCTCAGCTCCTTAACTCCTGGGCTCTGCCTCCTGCGGGTCCGGCTGCAGGGAAGAGGGGAGCCAACGAAGGCTTTGCAGGCACGGGCCCTGGCAGAGGGAAGCCATACCTTCACCCGAGGCCAGTGGCCTGTAGGTCCTGCCGCGTTGGCCTCGGCAGGCTTCACGCTCGGCCCCATGTCAGGCTCGAGCTAGGCCGGGCACTGCACAGGGGCCTGCCCAGTCTGGGCGGCACTGTTTGTTTTAACGATCTGTTTCTAATTAACGCGAGGCGGAGCCAGATGCTGCGGCCGTGTGCACAGAATATCAATAAACATGCAGGAAATTCCTCTAATGGCTCCCAGAAGCAGTGGGCAGTGCCGGGAGCCCCTCTGGGCACGGGAGCCTGGGTGGGTGATGCTGGCAACAACCACGGCCAGGGCTGGTTTTGAGTTTTTTGTTGTTTTTTTATTTTGGGAACACCCCCCCCCCAATATAAACTTTCCATCGCACCCTTAAACCGCATTGAGAAACCCGCACTCCCGTTGCAATAAACACACCCACTCCCCAGGGCTGGTCTGAGGTGTTGCGCTGAGCATGAGACCTTCCTGCTTAGCCTAAAAATGCTGGGGTGTTGCTCGGGCCAGGTCGGCAGGGAGTGGGTTTGTCTAGTGCTGTCGTAACTTAGAAGTCCTGCCGATGCAAGGAGGGAAAGAAAGGCAGTTTGATCGGTGTCAGAAGAAATGAAGCCATCGGCTGAAAGCAATTTGCCAGCTGTGGAGCCACCGCGGGTTTGTGCCTCTCCTTTATTCATTTATCACAACAAAATGTGCTGGGCCAAAATGCACAAAGCCAAGAACTGCTGACAGGCACGGCCTGAGCCCTGGGAAGAACCTGTGGCCTCCCCCCGTGCTGTCTGTGCACAACATACCCTGTCTGGGGGGCTTGGTTGATGACTGGAGGGGCTCCACACCAAAAGCAGGGTTAGCCTGCAGCTGGTTGTTTCCCCAGAGCTGCTGGGATGCTGGAGGGCAGGCGGCAAGGACGACCTGCCAGTGCAGAGATGCTGCAGCCAGAAGGGCTGAGTCCTGCCCCCCATGAACGTGCCCGCAACACACAGCAGCTGCGACTTGTGGGAGCAGTTTGGCTTTCTGGAGGCTTCTAGTGCTGCACCGCAGAGTTCCCGCTGTGGATTGAGGGGCCCCATGGATGGTGCTGAAGTTTTGGTTCAGTTTACGTGCTGTCACAGCTCCGGCACCAGCAAAATCGCTGCCCCTCATGCCAGTCCCTCCCACCTGGCATTGCCCACAGCAGCACAGGCCCCTTGGTCTCCTGTGTGCCTCTGTGGAGGGCACTGCAAATTCTGTCGTTTTCCCCCAGACTTCCCTGCCACAGCCCTGTTCTGTCCTCAAAAGAGGCCAGAGTGCTTCACACATGCCCAAGCTCCTCTCTTCATCCCCCACCGAATACAATCAAGAGCCAATCAGATGAGTAATCAAGTTGTGAATCTGCCCGTGAAGCATGAGTTGACCTGTCCCATCAGCTGCATGGGGTTGCTACCTGAGCACAGAGGTCCCCATCAGTGCACCCAGTCCATGCTCACTTGCAGCTGGCTCATACAAGCAGATCCTTGGTCTTGGCTGCCAGCAGCTTGTCCATCTCTGCCATGGTATCATCAGTCATTTGCTGGATCTGCGGCAATGTAACACAAGACCCAAGTTAGCCTGACTCGCCCCTTCTCCCGCATAACCTGGCTTTCCTATCGTGAGTGGCACAGCAGCTGTCCAGGCCAGAAGATGACTGCTGCTCAATGATGTGCTGAGGCACGGCCCTAGCTGTATCCCCCGAGTGACTGGCCTCAGTAGAAGCACTTGCATGCAGTTATTGGGCAAGTGCTGCTGTGTCTCATGGATGGCATCACTAGCCTCTGCCAGCACCGGGGGCTGATTTCACGGGAGGTGATGGAGCTGGGCTGATGGATGCCAGCTGAGGCTGGGTCTGCCCCTGCTGTGGCTGGAAGTCCGCACGCTCACTGCGGGGAGGCGGATGGGGGGTGGATACCTGCTTCTCCAACAGATGGATAGTGTCTTTAGACACCGTGCTCTCAGTCTTCTTGACACAGCTTATGGCATTGTTCCGCACCCACCGGAGGGAGTCCTTTGCCTTGTTGGTGTACTGCTTGGCCAGCTTGACAAGGCTCTCCCTGTGCTCCCTGGTCACCCTAGAAAGCAAGAAAATAAGAAACACCGGGTCATGCACAGCACAGCCTGGCCGAGGTCCTGCGGTCTGACGCAGGCTGTGGAGAAACAGCCCCCATGGCAGGGAGACCCATGGACAGACACCTCTCCAACCAGATCAAGTCAGCCTGGGGCAGAGTGGGGGCAGAAAGCACGGCAGCAGCATAGGGATTTAGATCAGATCTCATTACGCTTGTGGCTTTCTGCATGGTGGCAGGAGATCATGCTGAAATGTCTAAGCTTTCCTTTTCTGTGCTGCCAAGGCATCCGCGGGAGCGAGGAGGGCAGCTCGCACTCCAAACCTGAGCCCCTAAGCTGAGACACCTAATCTAGCTGCAAAGCCACGAAGAGGCAGGAGGAAATGCCCTTCTCATACTAAAACCCCTTATTCTCCCCCCTGCACCTGGACTAGACTGAAAAGTATATCTGGGAGCTGGAGCCTAGACTTGATCGAGCCAGTGGTCATCACTCATCACAAATGTGTTGGAGCCGCGTGGTATTTCCATCAAGCTTGCATGTAAGATGGTACCTGAGGAGAAGCTAAGATTGCAGACTTTTCCCCTCTAAGGTTAATATCTTGGTGTGTTTATACTCAGTTTCAGCAACCTGGCCTTGTAATTCAGATGCTCAGTGCCCTGCTTTTTGCCCGAGTTGGATGCTGCTGTCATTACCCGAGCAAAACTCACGCAGTTTCCATGGCTGGCTGGCTTTTGTGAGGGGTACTGGGGCCAGGTCATGAGAATGACAGCAGCAGAGGTCTGAACTGGAACTGAGCACTGTCTCCTGCTCAGGCCCTGGTCAAGTCACTTAACCACTCTCTGTCTCTGGTTCCCTGGAGATGAGTCATTTCTAGCACTTGCTTCTGACGACTGCAAAATGAACTCCACAGCTAAGGTTTTCCAAGCAGCTTAGGTCAAGCTCTTGAGTCTTCTGGGCAGAGGATGCTGCAAAGTAAACACGTTGTGGCATATGATGAATCGACTGCCCCAGCGTGGAGGCCAAGGCTCTTCCTGCAGGAATGGGGAAGCGTGAAGGGGGGAGCTAGCGCAGCACCAGCTCTGCCCCCTGGCAGGGAGGGATCCATTGCAATGGGGCTTTCACTCCCAAGCCCTTTCCAAAGTCATCACAGTCCAGTAAGTCCTGCCTGATTTAATTTCTCCCCTTGGCAGCCAGGTCTCTCACAGCAGATGCCTGCAGACGCACAGACTAGTCAGCTTGGGCATTTATTCCTATCCTAGAGTTGTGGGGAGAAAGCGAGCATTTTTCACCGCTCTTCTTGAGGAGAATTTGGCCGTCAAAAAGGGGGTTTGAGGGACCTGCAGCCAGGACAGACCGTCATGCCTTACATCCCTGTGCTGTGCTGCTCGTGGGCTGAAGCTGTGGCCAGGGGGTGGACAGGCATGGCTAGGGACAGATGGGAGTCGGGGGTCTCTGGCCAGGGTGCCTGGAGGGGCCAAGTCCTGGAGATACCTGGCTGCTTTATTTCATGCAGGGCCAAAAACTCTGGGTCACAGAGATGTGATGTAAAGCACCGGTGTCAGAGTGTGGGGGCAGGCAAGCATTTAGAGCCAGGAGCCCTGTGACGTGGGTAAAACCAGCAGGGAAGGGCAGATTCCCAGGGGGGCGTCTGTTTGCTTGTGTCGGGGGCCGGGAGCCTCATGAGAGCCTCCTCGCTGTCCGGCTGGATGAAGCCATGAGGCAGGCGGTGGCCAGACTGCCTCACTGGGTATCGCTCGGCCCTCAAGGAAATGTTTTTGTTTGTGTAGTGCTGCCAGACTTCCTCTGTTCTTGGCACCGGGTCGCGGATCTCATGCCTCCCCATCTGCCTTGCTTAACACTGATGTCTCCTCACTGCAGCACAGCCGTGCGGTGCTCGCCAGGGAAATGAGATGCAGGGTCCCAAGTCCCACCACCGGCAATGCCACAGAAACGGGTGCTGATTCCTGGCCGATGCTGCTCCCGGGATGGAGCCAGGCTCCTGGTATTCGAGGGCAGCCATGAACTGGAGTGCAGCAATCCTGCCACCAGGCCTGGGACCCTTGCATTTGTATGGTTTGGCAGTCGTCTTGTCTCCTCTTCAAAGCCCAGGGCTGCAGAGGAAGCAGGAGGGGCCTAACCAGCCGTGGGGAATAGGGTTAGGAGACTGCCTCTGTCCCGTTCGCTTCCCCCTATTGCAGCAGCCCACAGGCACTGCACTGCCCCAGAAATGAGGAGATGCTGGACCCATGTCCAGGTGTCCCTGCAGTGAGGCTTGTCTGCAGCACCCCTACTCGGGGCCATGCAGGGACGGCAATAGCTGAGCCCTAGCTACTGGCATTCAATTGGTTTCAGAAGCGCGTGCTAAGCTGCTGACAGCATCTCCTCTTTGTCTCCTTCCACCGGCAGGCAGTTGTCCAAACACCGCGGCATTTGGATGGTCTCTTTCAAGTGTGAGGCATGTGCACGCACGCGGCGTGAAAACAATGTGGCCACTTCTGGTTTCTGGCAGCAGAAGCGTGCGTTGGTAAGAATGGGTTTGGATCATAAATGCTAGGAATTTCCTGACCACGAGAGGGACCCGATAGAGGGAATTAGCTTTAACAGGACACTCTGCCTGGACGGTTCAAGATACAAGCTGAGACCCAGCATACGAGATAAATTTCTCGGTGCAAGGTGAGTGACAGACGTCTGCTTGGATGAGAGAACTGGAGTGCGGGACTCTAAGGACAGTTGCGTTTTTAGATGAAAAGCCTTGAGTTCAGTTTCCCAAGGCTCGGGACCTTGGGTGTTTCTTCAAGGGAAAAGAAAAAAAGTGAAGAATGACTCATTAAACTTTCAAGTGACTCATCGGACTTTCAGTAAAGACCGTGCAAAAATATTCCTAATGGACAAAACTGTCCAGTCTAACACAATGGATTAAAAAAGAGATGGCTGTAAGAAGGAGGCTCTCCACAAAGGGCAAGAGGTCAGGTCGAATTTGCCTGAGAAATCAAAGTGACAGAAATGTCCTCATGGATTGTGAAAGACGGGAAACGTTCTTATACAAATAAACGCGGCCTGTGCAGCGCCTGCAGCACAAACGCAGGGGCACGAGAGGGACGCAGACGTGAAAGCGAAGTGAAACCAAGTAGTCTTTTTATGAAGCTGAGGAAGATGCAGAGACAGAACAGGGAAAAGCAAACTGCAGTTTGAAAATGCTCGGGTATCACCACTTCAGGCTCCCCTCGTCCCTGTGCAAGGGCAAGGCTGGACCCACACACGTCCAAGTGACAGACTGGAACAAAACATGGCAGTGTTAAGAGCTAAAGATGTTTCAGAAGTCATGTATTATATATTTTTTAAGCACCAGGCTTCCCCCCAGCACTTGGGGGGGAAAAATTTGTTCGATCTGGAAAACACTGCCCATACCTACTACAGAGGCGAACATCTGAAATGACCTGCTCTGACAGAAGACGGAGGGAAAACGGTTCCCTGTCTGCCTTCTGGGTGGCTTGTGCCACGCATCTGCCCTCTCTGTGCATGCTTGCTTTCTCTGGCTCTCACAAAAAGTGTCAGTTTGCCTTTTGCAAATACTGTTAGGGAGCTGGAAAAATTTATGAAGAGCTTTAAAAAAAGAAGTAAAAAATACTAATTCCAAGACGCACCATTTAAAAGGGCAGGACTTGTTTTTGAATGAGTTAGTTTGGATTTATTTTCAAACTATCTCTGTGCTTCCGGGCTTTTTGAAAGCCCGTTAAATATTCTGTCTTGCTACAGAAGGGTGGGAGGGAGCTCCGGGATGAGGCTGAAGAGGAGACCTGCCTGGGACATGGGCTGACTGCAAAATGATCATGAGACCCTGCCAGCCCCGGATGGCCCAGCCTGCTAATCACCTGGGGAAACGCTAAGCGAATAAGGACAACGGCTTTCCATCAGCCGTGAGAAGGGGGCAGGCTGGGGGGTCTCCTAATGATGAGAACAGTTAGGGAGATGGTAAGGTTTGTCCTTCCTCCGGTATGGTCCAAAAAGAGAGGGAGAGAACACAGCCATTTGTTTAGAAACAATGGAAAAGAAAAAAGAAAAAAAAAGAAAAAGATTTGCCTGTTTCTGGATTTCTCCTCCTCTGTAATTCATATTCAAGGATGACCCAAGTGCCCATTAACAATCAAACTACTGTGCGGCAGCCCGAGATCCTAGGCAATTATGAAGATAATAGCGCCCTCCTCCTCCTCTCTGCCTCCACTCCTTAGGGGTGGGGGAAGGGCAGAGAGCGCCTGGAAGAAAGCGGCACCGGCGAACAGAATGAAAATCTCCTTCAGTTTTGCTGAAAGCGGCAGACACCAACAATTAGCAAGCTCCATGGCCAGAACGGCCAGAGAAGCATTGCCGAATTCCTTTCAGCCCGAGGAAAATGCAGCTCATCTTCACCTCCTAGGAGTCGCCTACTCGTAAAATATCCACACCCCGCGTGAGTCCGCGCGACACGGGGCAGGGCGATGCACCACGTGCCCTCGCTCACTGGGCCTGGTGTGCTGAGTGCCGTGCTTCTGCAATGCTTGTTTCCATCTGAGGCTCCTCTCTGGGCCTCACCCCGTCAGACCCAAGCACCTCAGGCTTGAAAGTGCAGATCCTCACGACCCTTCTCCGTTAAGTGAGGTAGGGCAGCTCTGGCCTTTTACAGACGGGGCCGGCAGCAAAGGGACGCTAAGGGATTCACCCAAGGTCACACATGAAGCTTGTGCTGCAGCAGGGACCCAGATCTGGTCTCTCAAGCCCTAGGCTTGCACCTTAACAATCCATCTAGATCCATGGATGAGCCCGATTCATGTAAATGAATAAACAGAAAACCACAGCTGGCTTGGCCCATTGGGCTTTTCCAGTGATGCAGTATCCACAGCAAAGCACCATGCTTCAGTACGATCCTGAGGGGCAATAAACCTGTAACATGCACGGGGTCCATTCCTTTCCAAGTCAGCTCTCGTGACTCCACCAGAAGCGGAACCAGACTCTAAACGATCTCGGTGACTAGCAAACCACCCCTAGCGATGCCAGAAAGTATTGCTCTCTCTACTCAAGTCAACAGAGTTATTTGGGATCTGCACCAGTGTCATGGAGAACAGATATAAGTCCAGTGCCTTTATCAAGGGAGACCTTTGCGCATGTTCTAAATACAGGAGTTGTTTCGACCCTGCGCAGCTGCTTAGCAGAGAACATAAAAAGGGATTGCTTCTGGAACTGATATGGATTTTTAATTAACAGTTACTTAGATTGCAGGGATGAATAGTGGAGAAGAGAGTGAATGAATTCTCCCTTATTTTGTAAACCTGCATCCACTACCAGCATTTCCTCGTGCTGAGTCTTCAGGAGCTGGGTGACGTTTCACCCCTATTGCTCCTGGTTTACCACTGTGTTGCATGGCTAGACGCTGGCCAAGCTCCTCTGACTTACAGTAACGTGGTGGTGAGTCAGCCACTCAACTCAGCAAGTCTGGCTTGAAAGGCGCCTGGCCGCCTCTCGCGAACTGCCGCAACCACCCAGGGCTGGGCAGGGCCAAGCTGCCAACACCAAAGTGCGGTGGCATGGAGCTCAGAGGCTTGGAAGAGGTTCCACCAGATACTTCTGGGGCAGTGGGGGATGGCTTCAACCACCAGATGTGGAAAGCAGCTGTCAGGGCAGTACAGTCACCGTGTGCACTTCCCTCCTGGGGACACACAACTGAGATCCCAAAAGGAATCCAGTGCAGTCCATGACATCGTCTTGTGTAACTGGGAATTTATAGACAGTCGTAATTACTTACTTAGGAACTGGCACCCGAATTATTATCCCATCTGCTTCCGGGTTCAGGTTCATTCTACTTTCCTTTATAGCCCTGATAGCTGCAGCTGTACTCTGTAAACCAGATCAAAAGGTAAAGGGAATTAGTAAATAATGATTACCAGATGCCAGAACTCTGTCAATAGCTGGCAATCCATCTCCACTGAACGTGGAAGCATTTAGTTCTGTTAGCAGTGAGATCAGGAAGTTACACTGGTGCGGAGAGCTTTGATCACACTGAATTGCAAACTATATCCTCTCCTGGTATTGGGGTGTTGGGGGCGGTGAGCTGGGGGTGGAGGGGAGGGAAAAGCAACAACAAAAGAAAACAGTTTTGCCTCTTTGAAACCAATTGAATGGTTTGAGGCAATGCAGATCAAAACCACAGCAAATCCCCACGGCCCAGCCTGGGTTGGGGCAGAGCTGGCGGCAAGTCTCAGCATTCAAAGATGCTAGTAAGCATTTTGCATTAGGAACTGTGCAGGGCCTATTTAGAAATGGCGACCTGCCTGACTCCTTCCTCACTGCAGTCCAGTGATGTTAAACCCGAGCAACGGTGGGAGGTGTGGAACAGAGCCCAGGCATTCCCCACTATGCCTCTTTTTTTAACAGACTTTTCAAGCCCTGTTCCTGCTGGCACTTGCAAGGCAACATCCCGGGCAACAGGAAGGCACCCGACATGGAAGGCCACTCCACCCATCACAAGAGGTAGGCCTAGGAACTGGCTAGTGTCTATCATGTACCCAATGCCTTCATCATCCCAGTGTTGATATAAGTATTAACTTGGGTTGCTTTGCCTTCTACCACAAACTGGGCTGGTGGAGAGGGTCCGGTTATCTTCAGCGGTCCTGCACCAGGGACAAATTTGGCCTGCTGGCTTTAACCATTGTACTGAGGCCCTGACTCAGTGGAGTACTTGAGCACCCAACCCTTTATACTTCTTTTGACCTGAGGGTGTTTGCAACACCGGCCTGGCACACAAACATATCAGTGAGGCGCAACTGCATCAAAAGGGCACGTGAAAGAACAGCAAGGTGGAAAGGGACATGAGTCCTTTGACACCTTAAGTTGAGCATGTGCTTAAGTGCTCAGCTGGATCAGTTTTGCTATATTTCACAACGCCTCCCATATTAAAATTCCCCTGATGACAATTTCTGTATAGAATTACTGGGAGCTGCATATTCTGCTTTAGCTTTATTTTGCCTTTGTATTGACTCACTCAGGACATGAACCTGTCTCTTTTAAACATTCTCCCTTACAAAATGCATGTGCTGGGATGTGGTGTGGTGCCTTGGAGAGAGCAGAAGACAGTTCTCTTCAGTGCAGCATTTGAGCATCTGATGTTTTTGGGAACGAAGAAAAGACGGTGTCTAGAAATAGCAAGCATTAGAGCAGCGTGGATCCCCAAACCAGGTTTTAACAGATTTCAATACTCAGGGATTTCTGATCATAAAGGCAAACCCTATGGTTGCACTGTAACAAAACTTCAGATTTTATCAGGTACTTCTGCTGAAAAGTTCTTGCCAGTTTGTTGGTTTAAGTCATTCTTTGACGGGGCAATTAAAAAAAAAGACATGAACCTTTTTTCATACACTGATGTTATGCTTTCTTAAAAGAGTGTTGATGGTTCTGTTCCTCTTTCCCATCATTAACTTGTAGCCTACAGGCAGCTACCATAGACCGTATTTATAGTGTGCACCATTTATCAATCATGGCAGAGGTTAAAGCCATGCAGCATTTATGTCTTCAGTGCATGCAAATAATGTTGCATCAATGTTGTAAAACCCAGTCACCACCTTTTAAGACATGAAAGTAATGGAGAAATCATATAAGTCAGAAGCCTAAACCTGTTATTCCATGGTCCCTTCCCTAGCTCTTAGTTTCCTTTCTACAGCTCAAACTATTTAACATGTATGTTGGGTGAGATGGAAGAAGGGAAAAAAATACCAGGCTATTGCCTCACCCTGATACAGCAAATGAATTGCTCCCCAAGAAGTTCCCAACAGTTTCTGTAAACTTTATGTCTAAATAATACAAATTGTGTTTGGCCCAGCAGATCTATCTACATTGTGCTTTTCTTTCACATGCTCTTTACACATAATACTTGTGTGATGTTTAATACAATGCAAGTGCCAGACAGATGCTGTAAACAACATAATGCGTCAGTATGTGAATAATGCTGTGCAGGTGTTTAGCCTCTCCTTGTAAATCTAGACAGAAGCCTTTGTTTGGTTCCCAGTGTATGTGTTACACAATGACCTGAATAGACAGGCAGTTGTAGCTGGAGTTTAACAGTGAAGCAGGCCTCTAGTTTGGTGTAGGATGCTGGCATGTAGAGTGGCAGTTCCCTGCTACGGCCCCTGCCTCTCGGCCAGTCTCAGTTCCTTCCTGCAGGTGGACTAAGTCACAGAATGAGTTGTCCAAACTGCCTCAGCCCAGAGCTTTGGGATTCAGTTACAGTGAGACCTGGATCTGAACTGCCTACACCCTCCCCAAGTGCTACTCTGACCCCCATCCCCTGCCTGATCTATTACTCTGCTTTCTACTCCACGCTCTGAGCTTCCTGCCTGATCTGCTGCTCGCTTCTGCTCCCTGCCCTTTCTGCAACCATGCCGCCTGTCCCCCCTCAGTCTGCTGCATGGTGCAGAGAGCTGCCCATGCCACTTGCGGCACCCCTGGTTTAAGTGATGGAAGACTATTACACAAGCCCCAAAAGCTTCAATCTTGGGATTTCTCCCCCTGACACAGGATGGAACTCAGCTGTGATATGGTGGGTGCCCTGTGCAGCAATGATTACTTGGCGTGTGGACAGGGATGAAATGCTTTTGCCTCTGATCCGTTCCATCCCTTTCTCTTCACATTTGGACTTCGAAATGCTTTCGGGAATGGCAGCTTACCTCTGGAAAACTAGCCATATTGACTATAATAAGCTGAGGTGATTTCTGCGAGATCTGCCCAAGCTGGTTGAGCGGAAACTTTCCATCTTTCGTTGTCACGATAATATGATCAAGAGCCCCTGAAAAAACAAACAAGAATGCAGCAGCATGCCAATCCTAGACCACAGTTTTCTGTCCAACACAAAACAGCAGTTAAAACAGGCATTTATTTTCCTGCTTTCTTTAGCATATGCAAAGTATAAGCATTTGACAAGACGACGATGGGTGTTTAAATTCTGTCTACTTTTCCATTGCAGAGCCAGCCCTGTAGTTTACATTTATCCATCCCCTTGTGATATTTGGAAAGCAGAACTTCGGCATTAAGCTAGAGCAACAGGAAAGTGAAGCTGCCTTATTTGTGTTCATTGCCTGAATGGAAAAGGTAAATATAAAGAGTGAAAGGGAAACGTCATTTTTCAAATTCATGCAACTCAAGGGATGGGGGATGTTGATAGAGATTTTTCATGTGATTTTTAACCTGGCAGTGTTCCTTGAAACCCCCCACCTCTTTCCCAAGTCCCAGGAGGAGGTGCAGTTCATTGGCTAACGTATTTTATTTCTCCCTCAGCTCCTCTTAATCTGCTCTCCACTTTCTGCTGCAAAATGTTAACAGGCCAGAAAGCACAAGGGAGAAGGGGCACTTTATCAGCATGATAAAAAAAATAACAGAGGTTAAAATAAATAGTTAAGAGACTGAGTTGCACTTTCCAACACCATTAAGGACTCAAGTACCCCAGCCAGAGTTGGGGGTGGTGAAGGATTCAGATTTGCTCATTGTTTAATGTTAAGTTTTATTCCTGAAACAGGATACTGCTCACGAATCCACACGTGGCTTCGGCATGTTATAGTAACCATAGCTAAGTCAAATATATTCAGGTCCTTCCCGAAGCACAAAATTTGCTAAGTGAACAGGGTTTGTAAAGGTCACTAACCACAAATATGTATTGCAGAGTTAAGCCTGCATATGCCAGACACCAGCCTGATGGCAATTTCCAAAAGGCTAATTTAATGGCAATTGGATTTTTCCTGCCCTACTGCACCATTAGCTGACAGCTTGCTTCTTCATCACATCTGCAAACAGTTCGGTTAGACATTTCTGACATCTCCCACTTACAAAAGCCATTTTCAGGAAGTTATTAACAAAAATGGATTCTTCCTGGTCAAGCTCAGGGTGAAGAAAGTCTTTAGCTGAGGGTTTTAAGGTGGAGTAATGCGGTACCTGGTGAGCCACTCCGTACGATGAAAATCAATTTGCAGAAAATTAAAGACGTGGCTCTGTGCTGGGGAGGCTCGTTCAGCTCAGTCCCAGAGAGCACAGAATTACACCAGCAAACTACTGACCTGCCGAGGTTCTGATACTGAGGTTTTTGCTGAAATCTTCCCTAAGAACTTCCATCACCGACAACATTTCTGCATTGACTTCCTCTAAATTGATGACATCCTCCACTGAGGCAGCATCGATGGTCACTCTGGCTTGGGACTGCCCTTTTCCTTTAGCTGCAAATTGCACGTGCAGTTAATCTCTGTGCTACAAACAAACGTGAGTCTCCTACCAAGCAGCCGTATCAGAAAACTGAAAGGAATAAATCAGTGCTTGGGCTGCAGTGACATAAGCACATTGTACATGCATAAATAATTCAGCATTTGAACACGTGATCTGAGATGCATTTGGAAGTTATGCTGTGTGCGCTGTGATACCAACTCCAGCCTGGAATGGGAGGATAGCTAATTTATGCCCTGATCCTGCAACTCCTTCCTGGACCAGGGGCTCTGGACACTTACACAGAGCACTCTGCTTAGTGAACTGGCTCTTCGTGAGCTCTGTGCTGCCAGGCTTGGAGTTAGCCAAGGTAAAGCTAACCCTGGTATTATCACAGTCCATGCAGCAGCTGCAGATTAAACGCAGCCCAGGAGCCAAGTCCTGCTTGCCTTACTCATACAAACAGTCCTGTTTGTTGCAACAAGAGTGTTCAGGGACCTTGAAATTAAATTAAATACATCCTACACAGAGTCTGACAATGGAGAGTCTTTTGGGGGAGAAGGGAAAATGCGATTTCTGGTCACCAAAACAAGCATTTCCCAAAAAACAGGCACAAGAAAATGAGACGAGACAACAAGCTTTGCTTTCCATCAGGCAGGGAGACATGATAAGGAGCGGCAAACTCATGGAGGGGGATCTCTCTCTTACCTTTGCCCTTCTTGGTTACTACAGGCCTGGTCGGCACTGTTTGACAGACCCCGTGCGGCCTGGAGGCGTTCAGGAGCAGGGCTGAGCAGCCTGCGGGAACCTGCTGGGGTGACCTGGCTGCTCCCGCGAGAAAACTATGGAGCAGCGGATGCAGCTGACGGATACAGCGTACCGCCAGGGCCATGGTGCACAGCTACGCCTCAGCTCCCCTGGGAAAGAGAAGAGCAAGTGGTGCTGGTTCAGTCCTGCACGATCATAGGGTAAAACAGCTTCTCATTCCACCTAAAACGGCCTGTGCACAGCTGAGAACTGGGCAGAATAGGCCCCCCTGGTCCGGCAGCACCATGGAAGCGGCCTGCAGGGGCAGGGCAGCTGGCCCCGCTGGATCTGGGCAGCACTGGTCAGCACTGCTGGGAGGCCGGACCCGTTCAGACAAACAGGAACTGGTGCAGCGCCCAGTCTCATGGGCAGACGGACGCCCATCCTGACGTTTCCTCCCTGCTCTGCTCGTGCCCGCTCCGTGCCACCCAGAGCCTAAATCCTCTGGGGCCCGGACCCTGCTCTGGTGTCAGTTCTCTGCTGCCAAGGAAGCCCTTGGCTAGGAAACCCCAACCTGGGGCTGACACCGCCCCTTCCCACCAAGCCCCGCCCCTTGGCTCAGTGTCCCGCCCCCTGCTCTAGGCTCAAGCCCCGCCCTCTATGCTGCACCCCCACCCCTGCACCACAGACCCGTCTCCTTCCCGCCTATCCCCGCCCCCTTGGCTCAGTGTCCCGCCCGCTGCTCTAGGCTCCAGCCCCGTCCCCTTCCCACGCAGCCCCCCGTCCCTCGGCTCCGCGTCTCCTCCCCGCCGCGCGCCCCGCGGGTCTCCCCGCGGTCCGACTCACGGGCACAGCCGCCCAGGCCCGTGCGCCGCATCAGCGTCATCTCCGCGCGCCGGTCAGGGCGGGTCGCGGCGCTG